TATACGATATATACACTGAGCGATATACAGGATTGGTTTTGGCAAGCTGAGAATAATAGGCATGGATGGAATGTGGACGGATCTAAATGGCTGGCACTACATGTGGGGGGGGGGGAGGTCGGTTCACTACTCCACTTACATCGGAATCAAAGGAGGTGAGCATGTTCTTCAAGGCACTTCTCTTCTGCGACAGCATGTCCTTGAACATCTCGGTGGTGGACTGACCATCCTGGCTGTCCGCCGATGACAACCGTCGATTGACCGGTGCTCCCGAATGGGAACCACCTGGACCACCACTGTGTGGCAATTGAGTGGAGCTCTTTCGAGACTCCTGCGGAGAGGCCCACTCGCTACCTAAAGCGGAATGGGAACCATTTGGTGAGCTGGGTGATCGCAAGTTCTCCCGACTGCCCATCGGACTGGCCGCATGACTGGAGAGCAGACTGGAGGACATATCGCTGCCCTCGTTGATCTCCTTGCTCCAGTAGTGCGTGTGGGCCACCTCCATCAGTTGGAACACGGAGGCCATGCCACCTAGGCCAAAATTCGAAAAGGTCACGTCCAATCCGCCGGCTATCGCCTGGACGCATTTGAGCATCCCCTTCCACACGGGTTTTGTCACGCACTGCAATGATAAAAGTAAGCAGTTACCCTTAAACATATCTTTTAATCTCAGTTAAAAGTTAACTTACCACATCGTCGATGTGATCATCTGGAGCAATCTTCTTGTCCAACGTCTTGTTAAGCTTGCTGAGGACCAGCGTGCGATAGGACTCGTCCTCCATGAGCTTCTTGAACCGGTTGAGCTTCAGCCAACCGACTCCTTCTCCAGCGAGCACCTGGTTGGTCACGTCCTTGAGGAAGGTCTGGTTCTCGGCATTACTATGCGAACGCTCCTGGTTTTGCTGGCGTGTCAATTCCTCCTGCGTTTGCCTCGGACCTGAATGCTTAATCAATGGCGTTCGCTCCACGAGTCCTTTGCGTCCAGGAAAGGGATCAAAGTTTATGCCCGTCTTGCTCTTTCCAGAAGATACGCTAGCCGGCTTATGTTGCATGGGAACCTGCTTTTGTTGGTTCTCTGCAATTGGATTACGTAATTTCCCTAGTAACTCTTAACCTTTTGCAGTCACTTACTTTTACCAAACATGCCCGAGAACATGGTGGATGTGGAGGAGGCCAGACCATTGAAATCAGTGCCAATGGCGGAGAAGAAGTTGTTGCCACCACCGGATCCACCACTTTGCTGCACCTGCTTGTGGGTAGCCAGTTGGGATCCGGGTGACTTTGGTGGCGGCACCGTCACCGTCGTCGAATGCTCGTCGATCTTGATGATGCCCTTCTTGGTGGCCGCCTCCTTGGCCGTCTTGGTGAGATCGCCCAGCGTAGACTTGCCCACGTAGGTGAGGTCTTCCAGGGTATTCTTGCTCACCCCTGCCGCCTGCTTGGACACCTCCAGAGCCTGTTTTGAAGCCTCCCCGGCCGCCTTCTTTGCGTGCAGCGTGAACTATGGATCCGAAATCGAATAGGTATTAGTAATCAAGTCTTCTAGAAGGGAACTTCAAGTCTACACAATCGCCTAAGTGGTGCTAACAATCAAATCTCGAGTTCCTCAACCTCAAGAAACAGCGGATTGAGGTCTACTTTAAAGCAATCTACGATGGCACTACTAGTCCCGTGAAAAGATCAGTAGGAAGGTATGGTGAGGATGTGGATGGTAGGATGCTTTAAGGAGGGAACAGGTCTCGGTATTTGTACGAAATGAATTTTCGATGGTAGATATACGTGTAAAATAAGAATTAATATGGAATGTATACTTAGTATTCTCGTGTGCATGCATTTAAATATGTGAAGAGTACTGATTTTAATGTAGTGACTTAAATAGAGAGATGAGTGTAAATAATTCCTTAGATTGTAAAGATATTTAAAGGTATGTATCTATAAATGAGCCTGATATTCCGTGGCTTAAAATGTTTTCAGTCAAGACTCACGTTGTTCAGTTTATGATACGTGTATGTATAGTGCAGTGTGATGAATAGAAATATGATATTAGATTTAGGTGATGTATGATGGGCATGGGTGGATCGTTTATGGATGGGATGGGAAAGTGCGGCGGGAGTACCAACCTTTTCAAAGGTATGACGCATTTTGTCGTCAAGATCTTCGTCCAGCGCATGCTACAGTACGGTACATTCATATCAGGTTCAATTAACCAAAAAAACACCGCCAAAGCACGAAATGAAATAAAATAATAGAACCGAAAAAGAACAAATTAAATAAATTATTCACGTTGACGACGGAAAGAAAGGAAAGGAAAGAAAAACAGATCAACGATCAGAGTACAACAGCACATCGAGTTGGAAAACCAGTCGAGGGAACCCCTAGATTGTACTCACCTTATCCACATGGGCTAGTAGACCCTCCTGGCTGCTCTGACGCGTTGTTTCCCGCACCAACTCCTTGGCATGGGAGGCAAAGTTTTCAAAGAGGGAACTCTGGGAGCTCTGGCGACCAGGACTGCTAGAACTGGAGCCGGAACTGCCGGTCCGGGCTAGAATATTGCTAACACCCGGTTGCTTAACCGGTGGCGTTAGCGGTGGCTGTAAATATGGATATATTATAAGGACCAACCCCTTTTCTTATGTCCACCCCCTCCCCCAAGACAAATATAAAGATCTACTTACCGGAATCTTCTTCTCGGGCCTCTCAGTATCACTGGGATGTCTTTGCAGCTTTGACCCGGTGGCTATGGTCTTGCCCGTGGCCGTGGATCCCGTGTCCGATTCTTGTTCAATGCTGGCCATTTTGATGGTGGCCTCCAGCCGCATGGCCAGCGGAGTGGCCAACTCGAAACTGGGTGCAGCCGCTCCACCAGTTGTTGTCGATCCCAGAGCTTGTCCGCCCTTCGGCTGGAAATCAAACTCCGAATCGCGATTGAAGCTGGGTGAACTCAGATCCGAGAGACTGGAGGATGAGGATACCGGACTATCGGCCCGCTCCTCATCCTCCTCCTCTTTGCTGGCCGCCGCATCGGCAATGCCCTCGGGATACTGCAGCTTGCTGGGTGGATGGTAGACCAGAGCTGGATCCAAATTCGAGGATAGTGTCTGGGGAACAACATGCGGCCGATTGTATGAGCCGAAGACATCATGCAGGCTGGGCGAAAGATCTGAGGAGGCCATTTCCGAAACGAAATCACTGAGTGAACTGTAAGATGAACTGCTGCTGTCCGCTCCCTCCGAATCCGAACCACTCTCGTCCGTCGGCTGGCACTCGAGTTGTTTCAGTGACCGGAGAGCTCCATTCAGAGAGCTGCCATCATCCCACACCGAAAACCGGATGGGGGTCAGGGCATGGGCGAACCACTTGGGCTTATCGCCCACCTGCATGGGGTCCATAACCCCGGTTTGAACCCGCAGAAAAGCCACATTCGTTGGCGTTAGTGACCACTCCGCCAGGAACTCCACTGCCTGAGTCCTGGCGAACTGATTTAGGAACGTTGAGGCTCTTGGTCGGGATCGTAGGAAACTATTTATCTGGAAAGCGACCACGGGACGGGGATATAGCCGCAAAGTGCGCGTGTGCTCGGCGAAATTAGCCAATGTATTTTGGGCATTGAAAAACCGGACCATCGCCACACGCGTGGCCACGTCTACGGAATCCACATCCGTTCCGTAAACGAATGGATTGAGGGCTGGTGAGTTCATTGGACTTGGCTGACGTGAACTTATCGTTCCTTGGGCTGACATGGAATTCCTTTGACTGGCCTGCGCCGAATGTGGCGGCGTCTGAAGTGGTAGCCGCACCTGGGAGACCCTGTTGGAAAGTCAGAAGAACATATCAAATTAAAGATGAGAAGTTATAAAAGTTGAACCTTGAAAGGGGAACCTTGATTTTACAAATATGAACTAATGTATGACGAATAACGGAAAACGAATAACGGACAACGAATTACGGACAACGAATAACGGACAATCAAATTCGGACAACGAAAACCTTTATTTCAACAGATTATAAACAGATTATATTATATTATAATTTAATATGATAACTTACCCGAGCAACGGTGGTTCCTGGAGACTATCCCGTACCGATGGTAGTAGCTGTTGTGAGGACACCGCCGTATTGGTGGCCGTCATCGAGGTAAGTGCCTGTGGAACAGTCCATACAGATCAATTAACAGAGTTAACCTCAAAACTAACCAATTTAATTAGGACTTCAACTTGGCTAACTATAAGATTTGGAGGGGGGTTCGGAAAGCTTTTTGGGGGCGTAAGGCCACTTCAGTTAGTAGGTTAGATACTCAGATAGAAGTAGAAGTTGGAAAACAAGGTGGAGAAGGAGAGAGACTGACAGGGCATGCACACGAAACATATAACACTAAAGACAGCGAATGATAGGTAGAGAAAGTGATAGAAACTCTGGGGGGAATTAACGAAATTCCCCATCCTTGAGAAAAGTTAACCTAGCTAAACCTATACCAAAATTCAACATTAAGAGTAGGCCTTTATGTCTATGTAGAATGACTGTGCATGCGGTTAGTTCTATGTTCTATGTCAAGTACATCTTCGATTACGAATATTCACATATAGTTAGTATATCATTTATGGATTATGTTTAGTATGTACAAACGGTTTCAACTCAAATATAACGATAAACGATAAACCAAACGTAGTTAACACTTTTGCGAACGATATTTACACCAAGTCCAGCTTCATCCATCAATAGCATAGCCTGCCGATGTTGTTGTTGTTGTTATTCGATTTGTTGTTGTTGTTGTTGTAGTAGTAGTTGTTGTTGTAGTTAAAGTTGTGATCGAGTATAACAAATTTCATATAACAGATAATGCATGAGTGTCAAAAGTATAGCATTAGAGTAGAGACAGAGATGGACACACATCGATAGGCAGAAAGGGAGGCAGTGAGTACACAAAAAACACAAAGAAAGAAAGAGAGAGATAGAGAGTTGTACAAGTGTTCGAGGAGCTTTGTCAATGGGGTTAAAAATGAAATGAAATTAAAATATCGCTGAAGTGCTCTCTTGATATTTGCTCTGCGACAGACCACAGAGTAGTTAGTTATGTATATTATTCGAATTATAACAATCACACCAAAGTTGAATGGAGCAATGATAACGATTATATGACAGCGATAACGATAGCTACGATGAGTAACTGCCGCTTTTACATGTGTCTGCTCTGCGTAATTCACATGGGGGGAATTCTTTTAAAGAGCAGTCACATTTTCAGATAACATCGGTTATTTAGACATGGAAAAGCGACTCTGGCCTTGAACCAGTTGTGTGACACGAGTATTGAACAGAAAATGTGAGAACCGCTTAGTAGTGCCTAAAGATAAAGATATGTTTTTCAAATTCTGGAAATTCACCTGGTCTGGAAAATACAATTGTATATCTTAAATAACATTTACTTAGGCCTATACCATTTTGTGCTCGGGCGCCATTCTACAAGTGTCCTATGCAAGTACTTTACAAAATCAGAAGGCTTGGAGCCTTCACTTAAATTACAACCTGGTTTGTCCTAGCTTGACTCCCATTCGAAAACCTATTACTCATTAGCCCGAGGTCGTCTCATATATATTTTCTTCAGTCGAGTTTGGTCAGTTAGAGCCATGTACAGTCCTCACATCGCCCTCTTATCGGCCGTGCAGGCCAACGACAGTCGTCATGAGGCTAAGCTCCGTTTCCAGCGCCGTCCCACGGAAAACATCTACACGGATCCGCGCCTGGAGCAGCTGATCGTCTACCGGGCCCTGCTGGAGCACCTGCTGCAACAGAAGTCGCACTATGACCATGAGCGCGAGTTGGAGCTCCAACGCCTCGAGCGCTTCCGCTGCGAGGGTGCCAACGAGCGGCGGCTGCATGTGCAGGAGCAGGTGGTCAAGAAGGCGCAGGGCATGCTGCCCGGCATCGTGTTCAAGTTGCGCAACGAGGTGGACAAGCTGAAGCGCTTCCTCGACTGCGACAAGGAGCAGGAGCTGCGCCAACTGGACACCGCACTCTATGACCAGTGCAGCAAGCTACTCAAGAACTGCCAGGTTACTTTGGACAACCTACAATGAGCTACCAAGTCAAATTTTATCATTCTTAACATTAGTCAAATTACATTGTGCCCAAAACGAAACCCACACAAAATCATCCTTCATTATACAAGATTAAACTAATTCAAGTTTTTTGTTTCCTGGGTGAATTTCCAAAATTGAGAACATTCGATTGCATCCATTAGATTTAAGAGATCAGGTTATGTACAGCGTCTTAGGGATGAGGTTCTGTGGCTTACTTGTTTTAGGTGGTTCTTCAGAATGGTGCCCTCGGGCTCAGGTAGCGGTGGTATTTCCTCGTAGCCACCAGTCGGTGGTGTCAGTTTGGTGGAGTCCAAGTCGACTACCCAAATGTCATCCGGGAGTCTAGAAAAGAAACGAGAAAATCAGTTTTATATCATTCTGATCTTAACGAAATGCTTGAATAGTTTGATCAATTAGTCTCCTCCAATCCTAAAAATCTTACCGGAAATTCTTTTTGTAGATCAGGAACGAGGCCGGCACCCCAATGACAAAGGGCGTGGGCGCCAGTAGTAACTGCTCTGCGCAACTAAGGCAGGTGGGCAGAAGCGGTATGACCGGGAACATGTACTCCAGCGGATACAGCATAGTGACGAACGCCATCACCGACATGGAGAGTGCGTTGTAGTCACGCGACTGAAACAACACCTTGTTCTCCTGCATGATCAGGGTCCACACTTTGAGGCAGGTCTCCACGCCGAGCAGCTCTAGTGGCAGATGCAAAGGGAAGTCCACCAGCGAGAAGCGAGTGTGGTCGGGCAGCGCAAACAGCAGCGGCTCATGCACCGTCGGCGAAAGCACCTCCACCTAGAAACAGATGATTTTACTTTACTTTCGATAGGAAATTAAGTGCTCCCCTTAAAGATCCACTAATCAAAGCACCCTTGTAGACTTCACTTAGTCGAAGTAAACACTTTTGCGCCAATTTAAACTGAAGAATTCGCGTCGACATATTTTCAAGATATTTTATGATTTATATGGTTGAACACCATCATACGGAATTAGCATAATAAATATTTTGAAATGTAATCATGTTGTATCATGTTAGTAACAAGATCCCGCCTGCTTGGCTTTGAACATTTTGTAATTGTACTGAAGAATTCGCGTTTTATGTATAGATATTTTAAACAAGAGAAAACGCTATAGTCGATGCCATTGACTATCAAAAACCCGTTACTTAGCTAAGAAAAGTGCGATGGAGATGGAGATATGCAGCAAAGCAACTGTTCACAATTGGACATGCCGCAATGGCGCCACCTATCGTCGATTTTTTTTATTTGCTTATAACTTTTTAAAAAATGGTCAGATTTCGACAATTTTTGGCATAAAGATAGATATTGGTAATCAAAAAAAATTGTATTTACATCTTTACAAAATCTTCAAATATATAGGCGCTAGACAGGTTTTACCGTTCGATTTCAGTGACAAGATCATGACAGATGGGTTCTGCTATATGATTATAGCACTCACCTCGACTCGGGTGGATCCCGGCACCGGAACTGGCGTGGAGAGGAGTCGCAGGATCCAGGTTTCGATTTCGCGCACATCGTGCAGGACGATCGAGGGCGTGGCATCGCTGACATGGCCCGTCAGCACCGTCCACACATTGTCCCTGTTGATCTTCTGAGAGGCACCCACTCGCTTCGGCGACGAAGACTCGTTGCAGGCATCGATCAGCTTCTTCAGGATGAAGAGGCATTCGCGGAAGGTGGTGAAGAACGGATGGTGCGAGATGATGCACAGCGAGGTGAGCGACTGGTTGCGCAGCTTCGTCCTTTTCCGCGAGGCTCGCGGCGATGGGGAGTGACTGCCGCCGGACTCGGAGTCCGCCGAGGGGGCCATCAGGCCAAGCTTGGGCACGGCCGGACCCGCCGACGGGTGGTGCGGCTGGTGGTGCGAGTGGTGCGAGTGCAGGCGCTGCTGGTCCGAGTCGCGACGCGAGGTCAGTTCACGGTCCGAATCGCTAGGCGCTACGTTACTTCTGTAGTCGCTAGAAGAAGTTAAGAGGCCGTAACTATTATGGAAATGGTTTGAGATGGGTTAGACAGGCTTTAGCATAGAAATAGGTTTAGTTTTCTATTTTCATTGGACTTGCAACCCCTTCCACACAACACTTGCCTGCTAAATGCCGAATCCGAGCTGCGTTCCATGCTCTTGCGCCAAGACTCCCGCCTGAAGGCCGATGATCGCCTGCCGCCCCGTCCACCGCCTCCGGCACCTCCTCCACCGCCGCCCCCATGGCCACCGGGTCCTCCGTTTCCGGGACGATCGTTGCCAGCTCCCGCCGAACCCGCCACCGAACTGGGACGCTCAATAGGACGGTAGAAGTTTACGCATATGCCATAACGCGTCTTCCCCGAATCCTTGTCGGTCAAAGCGAATACAAAGGAGGTCATGTCCCGAATGGCGGAGCCAGTGCGTCGGGGTCCCACGCTGGTGCACCCCTCCGGCTGGCAAAAGTACACCATGTCCAGGGGCAGCGGAAAGTCGGCATGGTCCGATGGGGGATAGCGACGCAGAAGATCGGGAACCTGTTAGGGAAGTCATTGAAAAAGATATGGAACTGTCAATCACAAATCATATGTTGATATAGCTTTAAAAGTTGATAAAGCTTAGAAACAAACACTATTTGTATTGTCTACCTACTTCTAAAATATCTCTTAGGAATTTTACCATTTATTAAAAAAAAAAAAAAAATCAGTCATTTTTTTTTATTTTTATATCAAGAGTGTCGGCTAACTGGAAAATATGTTACCTAGTTTTATAATATCTGTTACTAACTTTATCATTTTTTGAAATAAAAAATATTACAAGAATCAATCAATATTTCTTATTTTTATATCAGAAGTATCAGGTTAATAGAAAATATGTTACCTACTTTTATCCTATCTCTTAGTAATTGTATCATTAATTGAAAATTAAGAAATTACAAGAGTCAATCATTATTTCTTATTTTTATATCAGGAGTAGCATGTTAATGGCTTTGTTTAAAGTATCAAGGAGTGTGCTTTACATTTCATTTTGAGTTTACCCTATTTAATCTGCTTTTTATTGCACAATTTAAATTTATAACTACCACCAATCACATACAATTAAACCCAAAATCGATTTTTAAATAATCGTAAGCTAGATCTTATTTAAGGTGTCCGAAAGTATGCTTTGAAAACTAAAACTCCCGCCTTAACCGTAAAGAGCAAACTCATGTTAAGCCCATAATCATTATCCACCTAATCTCGATTAAAAATGGCAACTTTTCTTTTCTCCGCAGTAAGTAATACTCGTAAATCAAATAACCAACATAATCAATGACCGACTTACCTGCACTGGCGGGGCCTTGAGGCCCTGCAGTCCTTTTGGCATCGGAGGCGTCGTGTGAGCACCCACTATGGCCATGTAGTCCACCAGCCGGGGACACAGGGAGGCTTTCTGCTGGTCCGACATCCTGGATTGTGTTTGCTGTCATTGAGAGGCAAGAGGAAATGGGAAAACATGAGTTGCCATGGCAGCAAGGATGACGATGGGAGGATTATTTATCCAAGGACTGTTGCATGTTGAAAAGTTTCAAGGCTGAAGTCATTACAACTAAGGCGAGTCTTATTAAAAAGCAAAATTCCCTTTCAGGGACAACTTGATACATAGAAGAATTTAATTTGTAGGACTTTGTTGCTGTTTACTTATAGATGTATAGATGCAATCTTGAGCATTATGCTGCACTAAGCATCAGGATGATGACTCTCTAGTTTAAGCCCCTCTTTATCAAATCAAATTAATCAAGTCATAGCAACTCTCTTCGGACCTCCACAGATTTCGGGTTAAAGTCAGTCAGTCAACCCGGTGGCCTTCTCTTTGTTGGCTCGTGACCTTGCCACTGGCAAACTGGCAAACTAATCGGGATCGGGATAAAGAGGGCGGGATGCCAATGGAAACCAACTGGGGATGGGGAGGGCAAACAAAGTCGGGTCGAGTAAATTGAATGTCAAAGCAGAAATACTTTAAAGTGCCCAATCACAAATTGCAAATCCTCATTGACGTCAGCGGGAGTGAGCTATTGTGGGGGTGAGCTGGGGTCTTGAGGTGGCAAAAATGTACTGTGGGTGGTCCAAAGAATGCCAATTTAGCGCACTTGGCATGCGAATCCCTCGGTAATTCGCCACGTGGAATTTGTCCCAAGGACAAATGACAAAATGAAGGAAATGGTGGCAAACGCGAGGCAGAGTCAAAATCAACATCCAATTCAACCTACATCATCAGCGCATCCATCACAAATTAATTTTCCTTCATTGAGAAGAATCATACATTCGGAACAAGTCAAGTATTCCCTAATTGCATGAGCTCAGCACAAGGTAAACATACGATGGATTATTTGGTTCATAATGATTCTTAAGGGCCTTGGATTCCTGTTTGTCAATAAAATGTAGCCTAAATTACTTAGAGATAAATGTACGTAGATTTATGCCTAGGTATAATTTTGTAGAAAGTCAAACTTAACTTAGGTACATAAGTAATTATATAAGAAAGTAATTCCCTAACTATATATGGATTTCCCTTAATAACCAATAAATGTGATATAATGTACTTTGTTTAATAATTAAAGTTTTGAATATAGATATTTTCGATTGTTGTACTATATTTTTTTGGGAGAATACTGGTTTATCCTAGTATGGTAGTTAGAAGTTGATTAGTTAAATTTTTACTTTTTAAAAAGGTATAACAAAATCAGATATTAACCATTACTCAGGTAATTAATGGGTTATGTATCTTTTATGATTTTCCGCATAAGCCTTGAACCTTACTTAGCTACAAAAAAGTATTACCTTCCCCAACACGGTATAATGTATGCAAATTTTCGCCACCAAATGACTTTAAAGTTAAGCTGGGATTCCGTAGAACCACTGTTCTCATGTCAATGGGCATGGAAAAGTTTCCCAGCAAGGGACTTACACACTCTCCTGGTCAACCAGTCCTGCAGTCCACCTCCCACCACATGTCGGGGCGAATCATGTCAAGGCTGTGGATGCAACCCCAACCCCTCTGGTACACGTCCCGCGAAAAAAACTCATTGAAGGGATGCCACTTTGAGGATGCCCCTGCCATCCTACGACCGCAGACTCCGCGAAATGACATCAGCCTGGACGTGACAGGCATTCCAATACCAATACCAATCCCAATCCCCTTTGCCCACTCCCACTTCCTTTCCGACTGAGGTTAAAAATAGTCCAGAGTATCGGGGAAAAGAGCGAAACTGTCATTAACCGAAAAATTGTCAACGTCGATGGCAGCGTGCGTATTATGAAATCATCCGCCATCGGAATCAGAAATGTGACTCGTGGCATTCGTTCTGATTACGTGGTTTCAAGTGCCCCAAGAACTTGGACCAGTCACTTGAGACACAAAACTCTAATGGCAGTAGCACACTTCCTAAAAAGCCCACTGATTGGAGCCTATTTCATTTTCTGACCAGCCACTTGAGCCTTTTTGGTCAACTCAAGTCTTTAACGGTCTCATCCTCTGATATAGTATACACATGCAATACATATGAATATGTTGTTGATATTTTCCTAAACTTGAAGATACCATAAATAAAAGATAAATGAATGTGGAAGATAACTCCAGGCACAGTTTGTTTAAGAAAGACCATTAGCTATTGCTATTATAATTTTTCATTACCAATACGTATAATTTCTCGATAAGGATTAAAGATAGAAGCTTTTTAAATATATATCTCTTTGAAAGGGGAGAAAACTGAGACAGGAAATGTACACATTGTTTATATGTTCTCTGTGCGTCTCACAATAGAGCCCATAACAATCGGACTTGTCTCCAAGCCCGGATAAGGCGAATAAAGCGATTCTCGACGTGCGGCCCAATTTCGCCGTATCGTCGTGCAAAGCGCCTTACGAAGAGACACACAGCTATGGAAGCAATGGAATTTCTTCTTGCTATTTTTATTTTTCATTACCAATACATATAATTTCTCGATAAGGACTAAAGATAGAAGCACTTCAAATATATAACACTACTACACCCCTAATAAAACGTTTCCTTTCTCTTTGACAACAATAAAATGTGGTACAATTATAAAGTGGCAAAACTGAGGCAAGAAATATACATATTGTTTATATGTTGTCTGCGACTCACAATAAGAGCCCGTAACAATCGGACTTGCCTCCAAGCCCGGATAAGGCGAATAAAGCGATTCTCGCCGTGCGGCTAGGGCCCAATTCCGCCTTATCGTCGTGCAAAGCGCCTTAGGATGAAACACACAGCAGAATGCAATGGAATTTCTTTGCTGAATTATGCGTGACGATGAAAAGGGAAAGGCTCAAGGAAGCTGAGGGGAGCCTGAAGGAGGGCTTCTGGTGCATTTTTTCTTGCAAAAGCTCTCCTGTCACCACTCAAGCCACTTAGAGTGGGCTGCCTGTCTGTCGAGCTCTGCCTTGCAATTTCCATTCAACACCCACAATCTCCTGCTTCTGTATTTTCATTTCATTTTTTTTTTTTATACTTTTGCCTTGTTTCCATCTGCATCTCCCACTCCGGTGGTGTGAATGACTTGTTGTTGCCCCGCTTGTTTTGTTGTTCTGCACGTGCCACTGCAGGGGGCGGGGCAGTGGGCAGTGGGCGGTGGTTTGGGGATAGGGGATCCTTCTAGCCATGGTATCATAAAATCAATAAAGGGCTCGGCAATTGCATTCCCTGACAACCAGCCAAAGCCACATCATCAGCACAGCGCATACACACATAGATACAGTCGTACATCAAGGGCAGGCCACAAATGTTGATGCCCAATGGTCTTATCATTCGGGTATTAACATTCCCCGGGCATAATACGATGGTGCTCAAAGCTTTAGCACTGCCAAGTAGTAGTCTTGGGGAACTAAACTATTTATTTATAATTAAAGATCTGAAAATACGTCTAGTTATTTCCCTTAATAGTTAAGATTTATTCAAAGGCTTTAAATAGGTTTTTAAAATATTTACCAAATCTACTTTCTAATTTATTGTTCAATCTCTTTTCTGAAACTATGCTCTATAATAATTCAATTTACTTAGTTTATCAAGATTATCTGAAATTCATAATGATATAAATAATGCATATAGGAACTTATTTTTCAAGTACCAATCAGAACTCATAACTTTCTGTTGCCTAAAAAAGACAAGTCCATCGTTTTAAGGTACATTAGTGTATCGATATGAGATCGCATCCATAATGTATCCTAAATATTTAGCCAAATGTAAGCTCAATTTGCTATCTTGCCTTCAATTAGTCATCTCCATAATTGTTCTTAATTGGAAGTGTCGTGGAACTACCCCTGGCTATAATGGTTGTACATACACACAGAGATAAACTTAGCCGCGTCAATTATGGGTACATGTTTTTTCGTGACTATTATCTTGACCGCAGCTGTGACTCTATATAAAGTCCATGGAATGCAAAAACCCGGGAACAAGCAATATGCTAAGTGAAATGCCTTGGATGTTAGCTTTTCGGCCCCGAAAACTCCCGCATAAATTCCGTGTGCTCAGTGCTGAAAAGTATGCTACCGAAATTTTGGCCCCAAAATATATGCGCAGAACAACACCGATGGGTATGTGTGTATGCGGAATGTGGGCAAAAAGGGGGAGGACAAGGCTAAGCAGCAATGACACACACACACACTCACACTCACACAGTGAATTTGTACGCTCTGGCGTACGCAACAAGGTCACTGGAAAAATCGTTAAGAACGAAAAAAAATACACACTCGACATCGGAATAGAAACAACAATGATACGGTATACACACAGTATACCTATAATAATTTGGGATTTTTCGGTGATTTCTTATACATAGGTTCTAAGCACTTACCTTGGTTCACTGGTTATTGTTTGTTTTTTTTCTTCAGTTAATTAAAGGTAGTTTTACTATCAGGGGTGTTGCATTCTGTTGACATGGCTAAGCACCCACAATGTTCACTGGACAATCACTAAATTTATGTGTTTTCTATTTAACAAACAGCAAAAAAAAAAAGATATAGGCTCTTCTTTGCTCAGCTCTCGTGGTCAGTTGCAGACGAAGGACCTCTATATCGCAGCTATCGTTTGCTCCTGCCTGTTTCTCTGTAGCTAACTGCGCGCTGGCCGTGGTGTGACTGAATTTTCTGGCCGTCGAGCCAAGCAGCTAAACCAAAGGACGCCAACCGAACCCCCCACCCGGTCCCTGTTCGGGCGCCACTTGAATGTGTGTGGTGTGGTGGTGGTGAAATTCCTCTGCTCTGGGGGCTGGAAGTGTGCCGTTGCGATTGGCACGAGGCGAGCCGAAGACTCACGAAGTCGGACAAACGGTATTTCCATGCCGCACTTGTTGGATTCTCGTCGTATGGCCAACACTGCGCATGTCCCGCACGTTGAAGTCAACGCTACTTTGGAGATGGTAGCTGGAATTTGTATTCTGGGTTACTAGCTTTTTTTGGAAACTAGCTTTTTTTTGGATACTAGCTTTTTATTTTGGGTATACCTATGTGTGAAATAAACTCTATAGGATGTATAGAGTTTTGAAATCACTTTAAAAAGTGTCGAAAACTATGCTCCGAAAACATAGGGCAACGGGTTTGGTAATTTGTCTTTCAGACCTAGGAACTAGAATTATACCATGTTCTACTTTTAGACTTCTCTCAAAAAAGGTTTCGAACTTCCAGAGGTTTCAATGGCACCCCGAACTTAGATCAATGGTTACTGCCGAATAAATGTTCATGTTGTAATCTTACAGAGCGTAGAATTGTACGACTTTTTTATACTACACCAAAATTCAAATTCTTTTTAATGTTAAATCTATTTTTACATTAAGCCCCGCTTTCTTAAGATGAAATTATGTTCCATTAAGAATCGTTGCTGGTCTAATTCCGAAATTTGCTTATACAACTGTTTCTAATATATGGTAATATATATATGATAAAGCGAGACATCATTTAATTTTTAGCTACGTTTTTGGCCATATGACTCTGCCACATCGCTGCCACATGGATAGTAACGTGCCTGGTGCGTGTGAGGGGAGTGCTTCATGTGACCCTACAGTAGCTGGGCGAAGCCAGCGGACCAAATGGATGCCCAAATTAAGTTAGGCCTGCAGCAAAACTAAGTTGAAAAGCGTGTATGTACACATACCCGCATACGAAGTAATGCGAGTTTTTAAGTTCTTTAAAACATGCGTGAGATGTGGGTTCGTTTTTTGGCATATCGATTGGGGTATTAAGCGTAGATAGGCACATTTGAAGAGACCTTTAACCAAGATTTAGACATGGGTCTTTTTTATAGATTCTCTATTACTGAAGAGGAACCTATAATTTTATTACCATGTTAGAATTTTCTAAAATCTAAAAAGCAACACAATCCTAAACACACGTTCTCTGCTATATATATTTCCAAAGCATCAGCTTTATCAAATTAACTTCTCCTAATTCCTGTTTTAAAGGATACCGAGCACAAAAAGCCGCCACAAGGCCGCAAAGGCAAAGTTGTAAGCCAATTACAAATATTTTACAACTCACTTAGGTACCGGGGGAACATGCAAAAAGACGGGGAGGCTTCACATAAACCGCTTGGGATATTTATTGGACAGCCATTAAAACAAAGCTTTAAAATAAATGCACACACTACAGTTGAACTGTACGCTAAAGCTGCTGCTTAACAAACTAAAAAAAAGGGATAAATGCAGGTAAACAAAAAAGTAGTTAAACGGAAAGCCAGCCATGTGCGCCAGGAGCTTAAAGTAATCGAGGAGCCGCTCAGAGCAGCATTCCTCCTATAAATGCACATTTCGGGGATGGGCGGCGGCACATGGCAAATGCTCCAGAACAAAACGGATTGTCGTACAATTTACAAAATTATATATGTCTAGATAAATGCATCGGGTAACAGCCTTATCCGTGGGAGTTAGCGTTTTTCGAGTCTCAGGCAGGCTAGTGCAGCAGGAAGAGGGCCGGCTGCTCCAGGTACTGCTTCCACACGTTCGAGAAACTGGCCATGGTCACGCCGTCGATAACGCGATGGTCGGCGGACCAGCTCACGCTCATTATATACGCCTTGACCACCTCATCCTTGTCATTGAAACGCGGCACCGCCTTGGTCCTTCCCATCGCACCGATGGCCACCTGGGGCGCCATAATGCAGGGGTGCGTGTAGGTACCACCAATCTGAAAGATTTGCCACATCATTAGCATGTTCGCCACACACTTAGTAACTAATACTCACAACTCCGATGTTGGACAGCGAGAAAGTGCCGTCGGCAAAGTCCGTTGGGGACAGGGAGCCAGTTCGTCCACGCTCCACCAGTGCGTTCAGCTCCTTGGCTATCTCGATGATGTTCTTCGCCTGGCAGTTCTTGATGTTTGGGACCACCAGACCATGCGGCGTATCGATGGCCACGCTGATGTTGTGGGCACCCTTAAAGATCAGCGATTCGCTGGCTAAGTCCAGGGAGCTGTTAACAATGGGATACTTGGAAAGCGCAACGCTGGCGGCCTTAATGCAAAACGGCATGAACGTGAGTTTAGGGACGCCATTCTCTTTGGCCACCGCCTGGAGTTGGCTGCGGAATTGCACCAGCTGGGTCATGTCAATCTCATCGCTATACGCAAAGTGCGGAATTTTCTAAGGGGAAAGAAGTCAATGGTTATTTGATAAAGATGCTGTAGCTTTAGAAGCACTTACCAGGGATTCAGTCATCGATTTAAGCATGGCCTTGCGCACTCCCTTGAGCACTTCTACGCGATCAGCGGGCACGGAAATAGGTGCAGAAGCAGCGGGTGCAGTAGAAGCCTCTGGCTTATTGGTCGCCAGTGTGGGATGTGGCACATTTGTACCCGGAGGCACCTGTCCTAGGAACTCCAGGATATCACCCTTGAGGACACGACCATTCTTGCCCGTCGCCGGCACCTTGGCCAGATCCAACTGGTGTTCCTTGGCCAGGCGACGTACAGATGGCGTAGCGGGAGTGATCACACGACCGCCAGTGGACGTGGCGGCTGCTCCAATTAGTTTCTCCCGCGCCGTTTCGCTAGCAGAACTTTCGGAGGATGCAGAGGAGGAGGATGAGTCTTCTGCGTCATCGCCCTCCTCATCCAGCACATCAAAATCCACCAGAGGCTTGCCAACCAAGGCAATCTCATCAATGTTGTGGTAAATCTTGGTTATCTTGCCATCATAGCGACTGGTGATGGTCACCGAAGCCTTGTCCGATTGCACCTCGCAGAGATTGTCGAACTGCTCCACAGTGTCGCCCACCTTCACGAACCACTCCTTGACGGTCACCTCGCGAATGCCCTCCCCGATGTCGCTGAGGTTAAAGGAGACCGACTTATCCAGACTGGAGGTCACATGCAGGCTGCGTCTCAACTACAAGGAAAAAGGAGATTTAAAGATGGCTTATTAGTTTCTTTAATGAAGGTAAAATGTATTAAAATTATTTCTATTTGTGGCATATTCACCACAAATTGGCTGTACAGTTGGTAATGTTTTTTAAAAAAATGTTGATAATTTTTTCCGAATTTATTTTCCTAAGAGTAAACTGACTATCCTGGAATTCTTATTATAATTATGAAACTGCGTTATACTACATCGTTTTTTTAACGTTTTCTTTATATTCTGAAATAATTATTGTAATCAACAAATAATAAATGTAATAAGATAAAATGTTGTTTACTTACAAGATCTATTTAAATATTTCAGGGCGATACATATAAATTCAAATATTTGCAATCTATATATAAATAGATACATTTATAAATGCTTTAAAAAATCACTTTTTTATTAATGCTATAGCACAATATTACTAATATATTTATATTTATGAATATTTTATCTTTATGATCCGATTGTCACTAAATGTATGGTTGATCTGCTTTTTATAGAATAATACTGTAGATCTGCATAAAAAAGTGGAAAATATTTTAGAGCATTGATACTTTTTTGGACAACTTGGCGAATTAACTTTTGGGCAAATTTCTATAACCGATGATCTTTGATCTACTTTTTTTCCCGTGTAACGAAAAACAAATTGCTCCGATTAGAGGAGCGTTAAGATAGTTCTTCCCTCTCGCTCGCTCTGGGTGTTTGTGATATTACGTAACGGGTGGTGTTATTTTAGTATTGCCATGGATTGGCGGTCGTTTTCCTGATTATCTTACCGTCGCCTGTCGGGAAATGCAGTTCCTGAGCAGCCAACAGGTAGCGCCATTGCGGAGCAGGTGTGTTGCCATTTAGCGGGACTTTGGGGCCTGGAAATGCACGGGAAATGGCGCGTGTCGGTTCGGATATTAGGATTTAGCCTTATGCGATCGCGCAGGTGTGTTTGTGCTGGCAGAAACATATGATTCCGGCTGGAGGTGGACCATTAAGGTAACTATCGATACAAGCTGCAAGATCATCTGGAAAAAATAATTGGAAAATAAATAAACAAATTAAGTTCAATTTTTAGTTAATATACGAGTTCTTCGAAATATACATATGCATATATTTTTTAATTAATTTTTAGTTGGGTAGTGAATGCTTAACTATGTATTAAAGTTATAATCTGTGAAGTTTTTAAATACTTGTGTCTATATTTAAGAGCTTTAAAATTATCATATAACAAAATATTACCTAAGCTGTTGAACATATTAAACTATCGTTAAAAGTGCCCACCACTACGGATCCAGCTGATCGTACATGTGCCCGCCGGCGTTTACCAACACTGACATCAAAACAACGTGAAAATTTCAACAGCATTAAAATGGTGAGTCTGTGGTAAATAATCATTAAAATGATAGTTAAATCAAAGTTTGAATCTCTAAAAATAACAGACGAATCTGCGCAAAGAGCTGGAGAAATGCAAGCACCCGAACAGCCGGAAAACCAAGGCGCTGGGCAAAAAAGCACGTCGTCAGAACAACAAGCACAAAGTTCGGCTGGGTCATGCAATCAAAAGCAACCTCACGGGCGAGAAATTGAGCTGGTTTCTGGCGCAAATCGGTGAGGAACGCACCGAGCCTCTCAGTCCACAGGAGCTGGAGGATCTGATTGAGCTGTACTTCACCCGATTCGACGAGGAGCTGGAGCAGATCAACCTGAAGCAATCGATTGGCAAACATCGAGCTAATCAGCATGCCGCCCGCAAGGATGTGATCACCATGACGCTGGAAAAGGAGCGCAACGAATACCGCACCGGCGGCCTGGAACTGGTCAACCTCTGTGATCCGCTCAAGTTCAAAATGCTGCGCGATTGGGACGGCAGTGCGCTGAGTGTGCAGCACCTGAAACTCGACCTGGTCTCGCACAACATGCTGCAGCGGCTCAAGGGGCAGTCCGGGAATAAGGAAACGCCCAGCGAGCAAATGGAAACATAAAATAAATAAGAAAAACATAATCATTTGTTGACATTTGCATTTGGCTGTTTTGCAGCACTGCCTGTTATCGATTGGCCACAGCTGTTGTGTTTGGCAGGGTTGTCATGCTGTTCTTCGTTGAAGAACACGTGACAAGCTATAGATATCGGGAGTGGTTTCAAATTCATCATTTTATATTATTTCTTGTATTTTATTTGATTTACTTTTGTGAACAAATTTGTAACCTCAAACTAAAAAAATGTATTCTATGTTTTTTTTACAATGATTTTTCGTTTTCTTGTGTAATTTTTTTTTATGTGACTGCATAAACCTAAATTCCATTTAATTTCTAAATTCTCAACGCTCTAGTATTTGTTTAAAATGACAAAGTAATAGTTCTCAAAACAAACATAGAAACAGTATTTTTAAGCTATTTCTCTCAGTTTTTAAATCTTCCTTTTGTTGAGAGACTCAAATTTATTTGATAAATTGTAAATTAAAAAACGACACTCTTTATGGTAGCTTTACCGATACCTGCAAGCATCTCGATATCTGTCAGCCACTTGACAACCCTGTTCGGTGAACTTGAATTTAGTTATTTTTGTGTGCGGCCGATAAACGGAATTGTGGTGAAATATCCGTCTCGAAACGTGAGTTTTATTATATAAACAAACGTGAGGCGTTCAGTAACGCCCGGATTATTGATACCCAGCAGTTTTTGAACAAACCCCCACTGAAGAATGGGCAACAGCGCGTCCCAGGGAGTCGCGGCTCCCAGTGTTTCGGCCGCCCAGCCGGTGGCCCCCGCATCCTCATCCGGAACCGCATCCGGCGAGAAGCCCAAGTGCAAGGCCTGTTGCGCCTGTCCGGAGACCAAGAGGGCACGTGACGCCTGGTGAGTGTGCAACACCTCCTTCCTCGCAACCAATGACGCAACCATATAACTCCAATTCCCAATCTCCTCCAGCATTGTGGAAAACGGCGAGGAGAACTGCTCCGCACTCATCGAGGCGCACAAGAAGTGCATGCGCGATGCCGGCTTCAATATCTAGACGCCCCGGATGAGGCGGCCTTTAGGGTACTTACTAGTCCTGCAGACCCCCAGTTCAACACCCGGATACCCAGCCCCTTCCACTGTTTGTTTTTGTTGCATCTCAAGCTAATTATAGAACTAACTTAATTGAAAGCCAAACGATTTGTAATTTTCTTGTTCGAGGATGGTGCGTAGTTCCTTTTGAGTAGTTTTCCAAATAATGTGATCCTAAATTGTTCAGGAAGTGTTTCAGATTTAAACGTCGTTTTTTGCTGAGTGCTAAGCTAATTTTAGAGCTAAGTGAATGGAAACATTTGGTCAAATCATGTTTATTGGTAATTCTTTCATTTAATCTGCAGTGACGATGCTAATAATGCTTAGATAGTCATTACTTGACGAGTTTTTTGCATATATAACCAAAGGAAACCCTTAAAACTTGATAGCCAATAAATTTGCATTAGTTAAGGTAGTAAGGCTCAATATCTAGATGGCAAAATCTTAATTTATTGTTCTTTGTGTGCCAATGTATAGCTACAATTTCGTGTTCTATAAATCAGTGCACTAAATTAGATCCCTACAAGCTTATTTGAAACCGATTCTCAATTAAAAATTCAAGCAAATTAATCAAAATAAAACAATTTTGGGTTTTCCTCTCCCTAAATATATACCCCAGCTTACCGTACCTCGATCCAAACTTGAAAAAATAAGATATTGGGACTAGTGTTTATTTAGATAAAGCTTAGGGTGCGCAGGGCGACAATGGCGGCCATGTAGAAGGTGATTAGGAGCATGGTGGCGAAGGCCAGAATCCTCGAGGGCTGCGGCACCGGATAAACGGCGTAGACCAAAGTGTGAATAATCCTGGCCACGGAAGCCACACGGAACAGATTGCAGGCCACATTGGCATTCGGATTGGTGCTGATATAAATCAAGGACATAATAAAGTACGGCAGGATGTTCTCCATGTCATTGCGATGGGCTCTAAAAGGTGGACAAAATATAAGGAGTTAAAGTAGTGGACAATATCCTTAATACAGTCGAACTTCTTTTAACAAAACCCAAGTACATGTTCTATTCTCTTGTTAATTGTTAAGCATTATTTTAAGTGCTTTAAATTGTGAGCATAGCCTCACTTAAGTAGTCGATAACAATGCCTAATACTATTATAGTAATTTAAGGCCATCCATCAAGTAATTTAAGAGTAATTGACGGAAGAAATTTTTACGAAATGGTTCCTAATGCTTTGAAATCAATAGCCTACCTTCTAACCCGTTCCACATGCGGATCATCGAATTGCACTTCCAGATTCTTGAAGAACAGATCCTCCTGATTGGGGAAGATCTATAAAAGCGAGAAACAACCATTTTTAGAATCCGGCCAAACAGGTTAAGCGAATTAATCTAAAGTTATCGCAATGACTTGTGGCTATTATTTATACCTTGCGTCGCAGTGCCAGCGGTACGAGTGCCAGCAGCTGTGAATGGAATGGCGGAATGATGGTGACCTTTGAGCAAGTGCAGCGACATAAAGAGATTTATATATGTATAGCCTACCTTGTACCGGAAACGCTGCACGGCCGTTAGCAAGGACATCAGGAGCATCTTAACCACCAGCACCGTGGCCCAGAAGAGATAGCAGCAAAAGACGGGATTCTCCAGGTTGAACATATCGCCGGGCGATGTCATCATCTGCTGGCTGGCATTATTTGCTGGGGCCGACATGTCGGATGCTAAATGTATGTGCGTTCGCTTTGAGCCGACTTCGACAAATGATAAAGCCGCACTCAGCTCAATGTAGAGATCATAAACATGCGGCCAAACTGGTTACGAATTGCGTCGAAACGAATCTAAGGTGCTGTGCAGCAATGGTACGGGTAATATTTAATCTCCTTTACCGACTTGCGGTAGCTATACTGTACACAAGGCTGTGGTACTCTACAGGTCTACTTCCTAATATTAATATTTAAATTTATATTTTATATGATATTAATGGTGTTGAGTAAAAAAAATCTAAGTTACTTCTCCAAACTTTAATCTAGTAACTATTATATTTATCAAAAAATTGTTAATTAATTATAGTTGAATTGCAAAATTATATCACCTCAATATATATAGAACAGTTAAAACGACCTAAAGAAACAACAGAGAACATTTATTTCCATTATTTGCTTTGAAATAAGTAACTAACTTTGTACCTAGCCTTTTAACTTGACATCACTGGTGCTGAATCTGCGAAATGGTGAGTAGTTCTGACTAAGTGGGGGTCACTAGTAGTCTAAATGTACTTGATACAGCACATGAGTACGTAGCCCGCCTCGAAGCAGGTGATGGCGAAGGTGGTGAAGAAGGCCAGGGCTCTGGCTGGTTGCGGAACCGGGATTAGTGCGTAGACCACCGTGTGGAGCAGCCGGGCACTTGCTCCGATGCGGATGAGCAGACGGGCGGTCAGGGGATTCGGTCCGCTGGCCACATAGACCAGCGACATTAGAAGGAATGGCAGAACGTTCTCCAGATCGTTGCGATGGGCCCTGCAAAAATGCCAAGAGCTTAAAAACTTATACATAGAAAGGGTTAAACGATTACGTTGTTATTTATAAGTTAAATAATAGGAACAAGCACTATCTTTTTCAAGATTAGATGGAATTATTTTTCGACTGCTTTAAAGTGGACGACCGCGAATTCTTCAGCTTTTATACATATACATACATATCTAAAAGTTTAAAAAATGCAAGGAACCTAATACCTTACACATAGAAATAGAAATAATGTGTTATTTTCAAGTTAAAAATAAGACAAGCACTATCTTTTTCAAGATTAGATGGAATTATTTTTCGACTGCTTTAAAGTGGACGACCGCGAATTCTTCAGCTTTTAATCAATGAGTTTAATTTAATTTCTAGAAAAGTTGAAAATAATAATAACATACATGTCTATAAAATTAAAAAGGAACCAAACCCTAAATCAGAAAAGGTTTGAAATAATAAGGTGTTAATTATAAGGGGCCGTCCATAAACCACGTGGACAGTTTTGGGGGGGGTTCGTCAAAACTTTAACTTAACTTTTATGTTATTTATTCCACTTTTGAATTTACTATTAAACTTCTATTTATTTACCATTTTTAAAAATCTCTATAAATATCATTTTTAATAAGATAAAAAAAATTTTCAATGAAAAAGTCCACGTGGACAAAATGGGGGGGGGGGGCGTGTTAGTTAAAAATCCACGATTGTCCACGAGGGGGGGGGAGGGGTGGTCAAAAAGTGCTTAAAATTTGTCCACGTGGTTTATGGACGACCACTAAGTAAAATAATAAGAACAAACACTATCTTTTTCAAGATTATATGGAATTATTTTTTGTATGCTTCAATGTTGACGACCGCGAATTCTTCAGCCTTACCCTTTTCTTTAGCTACATTTTTTGGGTGTTGATATATGCATAAAATGTTAGGCATATACTTTTTTCAGCGCGAAATGGATATTATAGACAATTTTTCACTTACCTTCGCACCCGCTCCACATTGGGATCTCCGAACCGAACTTCCGGACTGCGGCTGATTCGCAAATCCTCCGGATTGGCATAGGTCTTGGTTTTCATCCGCTGGCGGGCCGTGAGAAGCGACATTAGAAGCATCTTGAAAACCAGCAGACTGGTCCAGAACATATAGCAGCCCATCACGGGATTCGATTTACTGAGCAGCACCAGCCGGAAGGCGGCGGCGGTGGGCGTGGCATCAGTGGGTCCGTTATCCATGGCGAAAGTTGCGTTACCGTCGACCGTTCGCAGGTGAGTGCGTGGCCCAGGTGGCAAATTGGCGCAGGAGGCACAACAGGTGGAGCAGTTCCCTCAACTGACCTCATTTCCACCTCATAATAACTCAATAATTTATTGGAAATATTCCGCATCAGCCCCGTTTTTGGGCTATTTCTAGCGGTCTTTAAGTGCATTTCGCGAATTCATAATTAATCAAAAATAATAGGCCTTCCAATAATCGATTCGTATAAGGTCAAAAACCTATTTTTGTTAAAGAGAATAACTTTTGCCTTGACTAAATGACGTTTCTAACTTTTTTCTGGATGGCAGTACACGTAGTGACGAAGCGCACCAGGAGAGTGTGCGAAGGCGACTATATGTAGTTGTGTTCTCATTGAAAATACGCGTCGAATGACAGTGATTCAAAAAAAAGATTTTGGGGGACTTTTCAAAATAAACTTTTTATACCCGTTACTCGTAGAGTAAAAGGGTATACTAGATTCGTCGGAAAGTATGTAACAGGCAGAAGGAAGCGTTTCCGACCCTATAAAGTATATATATTCTTGATCAGGATCACTAGCCGAGTCGATCTAGCCATGTCCGTCTGTCCGTCTGTCCGTCTGTCCGTCTGTCCGTCTGACCGTCTGTCCGTCTGTCCGTCTGTCCGTCTGTCTGTCCGTCCGGATGAACGCTGAGATCTCGGAAACTATGAGAGCTAGGCTATTGAGATTTGGCGTACAGATTCCTGAGCTTCTTACGCAGCGCAAGTTTGTTTCAGTAGACTGCCACGCCCACTCTAACGCCCACAAACCGCCCAAAACAGTAACTCCTACAGTTTTGATGCTAGATAGAAAATTTTAACTGAAATGTATTGTTCTCATCAATACCTATCGATTGACCTAAAAAAAAGTTTGCCACGCCCACAAACCGCGAAAACCTGTGACGCCCACAATTTGCATGCTAGATAAAAAATTTTAACTGAAATGTATTGGTGTCGTCAATACCTATCGATTGATCCAAAAATAATTTTGCCACGCCCACTCTAACGCCCATAACGCTTAAATCTGTCTACCGCCGGTAGGTGGCGCATTTTAATTTCGCTTTGCTGCGTGCATATCTCCATTTCCCTTTGAGTAACGGGTATCTGATAGTCGAGGTACTCGACTATAGCGTTCTTCCTTGTTCTTTCTTACAATTCATCTAAAGGAACAAGAAAAGAAGAACAATAATTCAAAGACACTAATAGTCCCTTTAAAAACTTTTGATATAAAAAAAGAACACCTCTTCACGAGTTAAAATAAATAGTGACGATCGCACCTTTAACATACAAAAACTTTTTTTTTCACCTCGTTAAAAAATGTTTATGTTTGATTAAGCTTGGCAACATTATTATAGAAATGGCGTGCTTTAATTCCCGAAAACATTTAAATTTAACGACAACGTAATCATTGGACAAGATAACCAAATAACCTCAGCGACTTGCGTTTGTTACTTATCGACTATGTTTAAGGTTTCTTTATTTATTGAAAAACATACATTTCAGTTCATTTTAAACGTTTACTTCAACAAGTTATATACATTCAAAATGCAGAGACTAGCATTATGTTTAATTTCTTACTTAATTGTTCAAGATTTGGTTGGATCGTTGGCCGCGCACTGGGGTACTGGTTCTTCAGTGTGTCTGCTAACCGACGCGCCAAGTCAGTGCAGCTCCTTTTGCCTGGCAGCACTGCATCCATTCTTCAAGTGCAGTGACAAACTGGACCGGATCGGCGGAGTATTGAAGAACACCATTACGAGGGAAGATTTCGAGGCGAAACTAGACCTAAAACTTAAGACGATAAAATCTGAAATTTTAGGAGAACTCCAGTTGCTGCTGAAAAAGCAGGATGTCAAACTGGAGGCTTTCCTGAGCAAAGTAGAAAAGAAACAAGAAATAATTCCTCCGAGGTTCGAAAGAATTGGCCCAACGTTCTTTTACATAGAAGAGAGTGCTAATATACAATATTATGAAGCAGAATCCACCTGTGAGAAAAAAGGCGGCCATATTATGAGTTTCGAATACAAAACTGATGTAGAAACCATTGGAGCGAATCTTAAAAATGACTCGTACGTTTGGGCTGGTAGAGGATTTTACAGGATGCGTCATGGGGAACGAGATTTGTCAGTTTGCTTTTTATTAAATAACGGTAGGGTCTTTTTGGATAAATGTCAGAAAAAAGCTGGGTTTGTTTGCCATTTACAGAATGCAGTATAAGCAAATAACTTGCATCTTATTTTTCATATAATTGTATATACATGTTTTATTAAAATACTTGCAATATAAATAACACTGTGTAACAAAATGAGTCCCATTTATTAGCGGAAATCTTGTAATCTTGGAAAAATTCAGTTTTTAGACGAACGGAGTCTTGACAACTCTTTATCTTTTCAGCCCCAAGCTCGAAAAAACCGTTTGTATTTCTTTTAACGGAGTTTTTAACGTTGTTATAAGCAAAAATCTGCTTTCATAATAATAGAAGTGCCACAACCCTTCATATTTTATTTGCTTTGTTGTTATTCATCTAAAAATTTCTGAATGAACTTATAAAAAAAAATTAAATTTGCATTTTTTTAAATTGAATTATCAAAAAACAAAAAAAAACCATTGGACTTAAAATGACACATATGCAAGTCTCGAAATGCGTAAATTTAAAACTACAGTTTATGCCAAAAAATAATACTTTTTCCATTGAGCTGTGTCAGTTAGCGACTACACCCACCTTGCCTAGCGAATTTATATACTGAAATATAGATGGCGGTGACCTGATGCCTTCAAAGTTAGATGACGCTAGTAGACTTGAAATAAATTCAATATTTTTACAAATACATCGAATAATGAGGGTTATTTAGATACATAAATTAAATTCTCAGTGCAAATATTAAGTTAAGAAGCTAAATTAACTTTACAAACTTTGTCTTAAAGCAATCGAAAAAATCAAAGTTATTTTAATCTATTAAGGTCTCGTGAAGGCAAACTAAGAGAATTATATCTTATATCTTATTATAACTTATTGGAGTGCATTTTTTGAAGTGTCTGCACTTTTAAAGACTTTAATTAATTCAGTTTATTTTTCATTCAAGTAAGTAATTACCTATATCACTAATTTAATATGATATTTTAATATTTTGTTAAAGTAAGTATTTCATCCAAGTAAGTATTGGAATTAAATGCCAATTTAATATTTTATTAAAACCATTGCCGGAGAAACGGAAGCAGACTGATAGGAAAAGAAAGAGAGCTAGCATTTCACGCTTTCAATGCGTGGGGGCAACTATATTATCACTATCAGCTCGTGTACAAAAACCACAGAAA